CTATAATATTGTTGAACTCACTATACAACTTTATCTTTATGTTTCGAGGATGACATAGTAGGAATATATGTTGAAACCTTTATAAAGAGCTAATGCTTGAATAAAAGTACAAAAGTCTTTGGGGTTCCATGGGTTTCCTTAGCTAACTAATACACTCTTAAGCATTATAGCTAACAAACAAAAAAATTGTATCCTTGATGAAACAAGGGCTGTCTATTAGTGTGTAAAAAATAAAGGGTGAGGAATTAACAAATGCTAAACTAAGTTTTTGTTGTTTTAACAATTTTGGTCTAGTTTAATATTGTTTTTCAGTTGGAAAAAACTTGATTTAATAGGTTTTAACAATTTAAGTCTCACTGTTTGTGAGTTTAGTTACTTAGTTAAGTTATAATTTATTAGTTGATTATTCAGTGTTATAATAGTTGATTATATAATATAATATTTGATTATAAGTTTGATTATGAATGGAATTAGAGCTGTTGTGATCCTAATAATTGGTATATGCTTGATTTTGAATTTTCTAAACTTATTCTTCTTTTATGAATTAGGTTTGCATTTGCTGATTAAGGTTCTTCTGATTATGCTGCTGGAAATTGTAGTTTATTATTGGGCTAGGTATGGGTTTGGTTTGTTGGGTTTTTTGCTTGATTGCTTCCTAATTGCCTTTCTATTACTTGTTTGAGTTTTGAATTTTGAATAATTGCTGTTAGCTTTGCTACTTGATTGATTTATGTGATTATTAATGCTTTCAGCTCTTGAATTGCTCTCATTTTACTAAGATTACTCTTGTTACTATCTTAATTACTTTATTTGCTCCCCCTTATTATGCTAAACTCATGTTGTTTTTATAAGATTCAAATCCCCAATTTCAATAAAACTTTAAAAAAATATAATCTATTTTAAATCTCTTAAAATTTTTTTCATTTTGCATAAACTTGATACTCAAGAATTTTCAAAGACAAGCTCAACATTTAATTTCCAAATCTTTGAGGCAAAATTACAATCTTTTAGAAAAAAAATTCCACGTTTTTAATTTTAGGTTTTTATTTTTTATTTTTTTTGGGTTTTGAACAAACACCAAAAATAGAAATAAAAATAAGTAAAAGGAGTAAAATAAAATTAAACAAAATATTTTTTAGGCATTTTTAATTTTGTGCTTGAAACCTAATTGCAAATTAAAGTTCAAAGCCCAACAATATTTAAAAGATCCCAAACAAAATGAGGTATCTACTATATGTTATATCAATTGTTGTGTATAATGCCAAAAATGAAATATTGATACACAAAAGGGTTTAGTGAAAAATAAGGTGTATAACATGGTGAGAGGGATCTTACCACAACACTCTATAATGCCAAATGACCTTTAAGAGTTCATTTAGAGATGTAGGATGGTGTGATTAATCACTGTTTTGGTGCAATAGCAAGTAAGTCATGGTATGATTGCATAAAAAAATTAACATCATGGCTCTAAATTTCCATTTGAGGGATGGGGTCTAGTTGCTTACCTTTTTAAATTAAATTGTTGTCCATATTAATTAACTTTTAAGCCTCATTTAGCATTATTGTTGAAAGCAACTTTTACGTTTAAAAGTTGTTTTTGTTTCATATGCAATGTTTTACAACAAAAAAATTTGGGTTTTTAGCCAACCAAAATGCTCATTAAAAGATGCTTTTACAATTGAAAAGTGTGTTTAGGATAAAAAATTACTTTATTAACCCTATATATCTTTTTAGACATTTTAATTACTAATAACACTTTTTCATAGTAATATTGAACATTAAAATTTTCTAATGATACTTTTCTCATCATAATTTTTAAATGCATTTTTTTTCAAATCAAACTTTAACATCCGCACTAGCAATGCTAAATTAGCCTTTGGTTCAAATTTACCCTTAAATTTATAACTTTAAGATTAAAATACCTTTAAGGGCATTTGGTTTGCAGAATTTAATATTCTGGGAGGGAAAGTGATTTTTCATAATTCACTTTACTTGACAAATTTTTAGGAATGTTAGATTAATGTGTTAGGTGTTACTATATTTGATTAGAGATATAAAAGATTACCTAATAACATATTTACTATAGTACCTTTAGTTATCTTATTAGTTGATGTTACGTGAATAATATGTATAGGTAGTTATATTTAAATTACTTATTTAACATTTAAATGGTTTATTTAATATTTGTGAAATTAGTAAATAATTACAATTTACTAATTTATTTTTATATATCAAATAATACTTTGTAAATAAATATTATAAAATATTTGTATGTATATTTTGTTAAGTTACATAGAGCATAATTATTATTCTAACATTGATTGTTTCTACCCAGAGTAAATATGTAGATTGACTTTTATAGTAAGATTGATGCAAGGGTTAGAAATGAGAGGTAAACTTCCTTCTTAACCAAGGAACTCCCGATACAAATTTTATATGTAATAATATTAAGTAAATGTATTTTGAATTTTATTAGATATATAACATTCAAATTATTTTTTTTAACATTTAAATTATGAAAATATATTGTGAAAAGTATATTGTAATTATTTTCATAGTATATTTTCATAATACTACGTTTTTCATCTTGAAAATATAGTCTATGTTGAAATTGTGGAATTTTGAAAAAACAATTATTTTTATAATAGATTATGTTTTCATCTAAAAAAGTAGTTTATGTTGAAACTGTAGAATTTTAAAAAATAATTATTTTCATAATATATTTAAATAAGAGACTATTTTTTTCATCTTCAAAACGTGGTCTATGTTAAAACTGTTTAATTTTGAAAAATAAATATTTTCATTATATATCTTAACAAAGATTGTATTTTTAATCTTAAAAATGTAGGAGTATATCACCAACAATTATTATAGTGCACTTAACTAATAATAATTCAGCATAGTGTAAGATATATAAAAAAATTTGTAGAGTCCACACTTTTAAGTGGTGGTTCCCTACATAATTTTTTTTTAGGTGATTGGCTAATTGTAGTATTATTAGTAAAAAGAATTCTAAGTGAAATGTAAAAAGCCTCCAATCAATTAAAACAATCAAATCAACAGAATAATAATCAAACAATCAATCAACTACAAAAAGATAACAATTTATTTGAGACAGGATTAGCTAGATATTACTTGATGGATAAGAAAGCTTATAAAATTTTTAGAGAAAAGGGATTCCTGATGAGGAAGTTAGTAAGCTTATAAAAAATTGGAATCACTAGATATTGCTTGATGAATAAGAAAACTTGCTAAAGAAGAATTCTAAAAAGAAATGCATTCTTGATAGGTAAGTTAGAAAGCGTATAAATAGTGAGAGTCTTAATAAGATTAAATATAAGAGAAATGTGTAAAAGAATTGTAAGATTTTATTAGGTAAACTCGTCATTGGACTAGGGGATATTCAGGGAATCCTTATGGGTGTATATATTTGAATGTTTGCCTAAGTGGACTAGAGGAGATTGAGAGGTTCTACACTGGTATGGTAAGCCACATGAGTATATTTTTATTTAGGTTAAGAATATTTTATAGAATTAGAGAAGATTGGGAGGATCTATATGTATTAATTGTGAATGTTTAATTTAATTTGTTTATAATTCTCTGCAACTAATGAACTTTTTTATCCGTGGATGTAGGTTGATTGGAATAAATTATGTTAAATTGTTATATCTTATGTAGTTGATTGATTGTTTGATTATAATTTTGTTAGTTTGACTATTTGATTGAATTAGGGATGTTTTGGTCTAACAACTGGTATTAAAGTTGTCTTGATAGGATTGGCTATATTTGATGGCTTATAAGAGATTGAGATGGTCTATATAGACATGAGTGCATACGAATATGTATTTGTTTGAGTTTGGAATACTTCATAAAACTAAAAGAGAATGAAAATGTCCATCGATATTGATTATGAGTTTTGATTGATATAATTATATGATTATAATTCTCTACAACTGATGAATTTTTTTCTCATCCTTAGATTTAGATTGATTAGACTTAATCATGTTAAATTATTATTTCTTATGTGATTAATTAATTGTTTGATTTTGTTTTAGTTGACTTGATTATTTAATTAGATTGGAGCATTTGAACCTAATAGCTTGATCTTAGCTTAATTTTGAAATCTTCAAAGTTCAATATCAACCGAATTTTATCTTTCATGGTTTAACTCAATAATAAAATCAAATTACTTGAACCGGACTTAATTCCAATAATTATCAACAACCCAAATAATAAATTTTAAATTTTAAAAAAATTAGATACAAATAAAAAAAATTATTTTTAAATTTTAAAAATTTAATCAAACTCATAAACTATTATTTGATGAATATTAAAATAAAATACTTAAATTCGACTTAACTCATTACTTAAAGTCAAACTTTGCTTGATATATGGTCCACGAGTTGAGTAAGAGTATTCACCGATTTAAACTCAAATAATTTAAAGGATTTTTAACTTATTTGCTACCATTAGCCAAATATTGACTAACCTGCTTTGTGTCAAGTTTTTGGCCGCTTGGATATGTGGCAAGTCCAAATTTCCATGACAAGGCAACCATTGGTCGAATAAACGACACTCAAATTTCAAATAAATGAGTTTTCATTAATTGATAAAAATTGATAAAAATAGATTGTAATTAATAAAAACAACCCTATCTTCTAAGAAGGTGAGCAAAGAAAGGTCCTCTAATAGAAGGGAATATCAATTGGGTTGAGTGTACTTTAGCACTAAAATTGTCTTTAAAGACAAACAAAAAGGTCCAAATTTGGGCATCTATATTGAAGATGATTTGTACATCATCTCCACAATTTATTAAGTTTGCAGTAAAGCAAAATTGCAAAGAGATGGCTACCAATTTTGGGTTTTTAGTTGAATTAGAAAATCCTTCTTAAAATAGGAAAAATGACGTCAATGATGATTTCATCTTGTGAAAGTCTGGCCACAAATTTTTGTGGTCTACAGACCATGGACAGCCATGATGAAAAAGATTCAAACAAGAATGCGTGCAAACTGGAATAACATTGGATAATAAATAGAGACTATATTTCATATCACAATCCCAAGCACAGCTAAGTGCTTCAAACCTTCTTACAGAAAAGGAAAAACCAGTCACCCCAACAACTCCCAAGCACAGCTAAGTGCTTTAACCATCTTACAAAAAAGGAAAAACCATTCACCCCAACAATACAAGACAACCAGGCACAACTAAGTGACCATTTATTTCAAAACATAAAAAAACATTGAAATTAAAACACAAAAGAAGATACAGTCTTGCTGCTGGTGTAGCCCCACCATAATTTACTCAATTCCCAAGAGTTTCTTCAACTGCAAAACAAAGTCATAGACTTTTTCTTGATCAGGAAGAGACTTGGATACACTCTCCTTTTCCAGGCACCTTTTAGCCCATGCAATCAGCTTGGGGCACTCTGCCTCAATGCTGAAGTTGCCACACTTCTCATAGGCATAAAACCAGCTATAAAATGGGACGAGGACCACATCTACATAGCCAAGATTTTCTCCACCAAAGTATGGCTTGTCTCCAAGCTCTCCTTCTAACAGCTTCAAGCTCTCGATGAACTCTTTCTTTGCTGTTTCCTGTTCTTCTCCCTTACTTGTCCATATTTTCCTCCCTAGCTCATATATCTGCATTTTTTAATATACAATAACTTAGGCACAACTGGTTCTAAATTATCAAAGTAAACGCTAATCAACAGTAATATTAGGTTTTACACCCAAATATATGATTCATAAGAGCAGATATAGGAATAGAAAAATAATAATAATAACATGCTGAAACCAGCTCTTAAAAATAGTGCTATAAAAAAGTAGTGCTATAAATCAAATTAGTTAAGCTTCCAATTCAATAATCCAATTTTCAATATATAATATAAAACTTAAAACTTAAAACAAAACAAACTCATAAAGTATTTAATGAGACAAATCATGCTGATTTCAGCTTTACAAGACTAAGTCAAGGACAACAAGATAGGAACAAACAAGTGGACGTATGCGTGTGTGTATATATATATAAAGAATCACCGGTGAAAATTAATCACTTTCCTAGTCAGTGACTAGTTTTACATTTATTTTCTTCTCTCAATCAATATGGAACCTACAATGAAATGATTGTAAACAATAAAACATCAAGAGAATGATTGTGTTCTTCCAAATATTCAAGGTAATCAACATTTAATCATTTCCCCCGGTCTCCATTGAGAATTGGAGGAATCCAAACTATATGTAGTATTTATAAGAACAGTAATCACGGTCAGTACTCATGGCCATCAATTATCACCGTCACTATCAACTAGATCTAGAATTCCTTAGTGACAAGTTACCAAGAAATACTAAATTATCCGAGAAAAAAACAGTAAAACATAACAGTGTAAATGGGTTAAATTACTTGTGAGCTGCTCAAATTCGATTTGAAAAAACCTCTAAGCTCAAGTTAGAGATTGAATAATTTAATACCTAATTCAAAAGGCTTAAAATTTTAATCAAAATTTTAATTTTTTAATATATTAATATTTATAATTTTATCGAACTTAATCAAATTTAGCAAATCAAACATGAATGATACAATTAAATTAGAAGTCAAACTCAGCATATAAATTAAGATCCATTAAGCTCAAGTCAAATTTCAAATCAAAGTTGGAGTTTTTAGTCTACTTCAGCTCAAATCTAACAATATATAACTCGATTCCGCTCTATGCTCCTGGTAAAATACAAAGAATCAAAAATCAAACCAGCCTGTCACTTACAATTATCATGCTAGCACTAGGGTTTGATGCTTAATTAGCAGTGCTAAAAGAACCCTCCAAAATTCAAAGTCAGTCAGACCAAATCCAAAAATCTCGGACTGGAAAAAAAAGTAGTAAAAATAATAGAGTACCTTTTTGTCAACAAAATCAGCCCAGAATCTAGCAATAGCTCTTTGGTAAGAATGAGAGGGGAGCAAAGGAGATGTATGATGCCAAACCTCATCAATATATTGAACCTGGATGAGCGACTCACAAACAGGTTTACCATTGTGGATAAGAACTGGAATTTTCTTGTGAACAGGGTTCATCTGAAGAAGCAAAGCACTCTTGTTCCTCAAATCCTCTTCCTTGTACTCATATTTTATCCCTTTCTCAGCTAAAGCAATCCTCACTCTCATCCCAAATGGACTTGGCCAGAAATCCAGCAAAACCACCCCTTCTGCCATTCTCAACTGAAAAGCTAAACCTAAATCCTTGATTTTTTTTTTTCTTTCTGGTGTCTAAACTGATGTGTTTGTGAGCTCTATTTATAGACAAAAAGTTTAGGGTTGTCAGGGTCTTTCGACGACTTACCTGACACAATTAAACTAATCTTGAAATTTCTGAATTATTTCTTTTTTTTTTTTTTTTAATAGGTTTTATAAGTTTTAATGTAGCAAATCTCTCAACATCCTTCCAGGACCTTCTACTGAAGAAATAGCAAACGCCATTCCATACGTCACTAGTGGCTCTGTCCAGAAGCCATTGCTATGGACTTTGACCGTAATATTGTACCGTTCATTTTTTGGTTTCTAAAATATTCTTCATTCTAAATTTGTTTTTTGTTTTGAATTTTTTTTAATTTTGTATTTGCATTTAAATTAGTTTATTTTGTTTTTATTTTTTATTTTAAATGTTTAATAATATTTTATTAAATAATATTTATAATAGTTATAAGTATTGTTTCTTTTTTTTTTGCCAAAATATAAGTATTGTTCCTTTAAATATTTAAAAACATTTTTATAACATTTAATATTTAAAATCTTAATTATTATTTTAATATAAAATAATGTGCCAAAATTTTGAACAAATAAAATTTTCATTATTTAAAATGTCAAATAACATTAAAATATATGTAAAAATAATTTATTTATACACTTTTAAATTAAAAGAAACGTTAGTTATCTTTTTATGTGAGCAAATGTGTTATTATCTTTTGAGAAATAATTATAATTTAGATATAAAAATGATTATATATATTAATTTTAAAAAATTGTTTTTATTAAATTTAATTATATATTAACAAAATTATTATTTGGCATAAAATAATTTTAATAATTTATTAATTTTATAAATATTAAATAATTTAAAATTTTAATTATAAAAATTTTAATTTAATATTCTAAATAATTTTATTTTTTTTAATTACATTTCACCTTCCGTGTGCTGTTATGCCATTTTTGGCGTAATCTAGCATAGACCTTTTTTATCATCTATCACGTTTTCTGTTTTTGTTTTTTGTTTTTATATTTTTTATAATTTTATTTTTTTATATCATTTTGTCTCAATAAATTTGTTACTTATTGCTCATTGTTAGTTAAATTTTTAAAATTTTGATCTATTTTTATTTATACTTATGATTGCTAAAAATATAAAAAATATATATATTTAATTTATTGAATATTATATACATATATAAAAGCCAATTTTTTCTTAAAAAAAACATCATATGTAAATAGTTTGATTATTTGACATATCTTGAAATTTTACAATGTGTTCACTACTTAAGGCTTTTTATTTGATGTAATTTGATTTTGGTTAAATTAATTATATCTATTTTTATAATTTAAATCTTTTTCAATTAATTTTATTTTTTAATTTTATTTCATTTTATTTTATCAAATTAATAACATTTATTTTCATATATATATATATATATATACATCTTATATAAATTTAATATTGTCATTTTATCAAACAAAAAATAAAAATGTCAACTATCTATTATAACGATTTTATGGATTATTATACGAATTTTAAAGAAAAATAAAAATAGAGAGTTACCATCAATATTTTTTAAAGTGTAATTGATCACCTAAAAATTTATTTTTTAATAAAACCTTAAAACTAATTTAAAGTTTATCATAAAAATAATTTTGATATTTGAAATTAGAGATGGATTTGAGAGTAGGGTTATATGTAGAGAAGAATTAATATCCCATAACATCCATTTAAAAAATGGTACTAATTAATCATGTATTATCATTTAGCATTGTTAAAAAATTGTCTTAATTTTAATATTTAAGATAATTCCTTTACCTTTATTTATTTTTTCAAATTTTTTTTTGTTATTATTATTTTTAATTATTTTATTTGGGACTGAAATGAAATTTTTTGTTTTGAAAAAATTTATGAATTTTTTAATATCTAAGTGAAATTTAAAAAATATTTTTTCACTTAGAGTTTTTATAATAATTTTTAAAATCTGACATAATATTTCTTGTAACGAATAATTGTTGAGAATCTCTCTAATATTTAGGCTAGATCCAAAAAATTATTTTTATTTAAGTAATATTATCTTTTATTTCAAAAAAATTTAAAATTACTATTTATTATTTTATATATTTTTGACAATAATAAAATGTATGATGTAACATGAAGTAAATAAATGATACAATTACAAATTAAAAAATGCAAATGACCAATTTGATTTATCTTATAAATATTTTAATTTATTTCTTTTTCACTATTATTTTTTAAAAACATTTAATTATAAAAGACATTTTATTTATTTTTTGTTATAAAATTTTCTTTAATTCTCTAATATTTAGTTTTCAAGACGAAATTTAAAAAAATTAATTATTCACTTAAGAAATTCTCATAATTTATTTTTAGTAAAATGAGAATAGTATTTACTAGTAAAAATATTATTTGAATTCCTTTTAAGATATAGGTTGTGTCTTTGAAATCACTTTTTTAGATATATTATTTATTTTTTATAAAGAATTTTACGAAAATTATTATTTTGTTGTTTCATATTTGTTATTAATGCATAAATTGCTTACATGATAATATGAACATAAATTAAATAATGCATGTAATTATATTTCTTCTTTAAACAGATTTCATTTATGATAAGCATGACATTTTCAATATTTTTATTTATTTATTTTAATTCTCTAATATTTAAATAAAATTAAAATAAAGTTAATTTTCTACTTGAGAGATTCACGTAAAATATATATATTAAAGTTAAGATAATGTTCCTTTGCAACAATAGTTATTTGAATTCCTCCCCATTTTTCTTTTTAACAAATTAAAATGTACAGTTCAAAGTTAGAATTGAGTAATTGATCTAACCATTCAAAATATTAGATGATGGGATAACGTGAAAATAAAAATATATATATAATGTGATTTAAAATTTTAATAAAAATTATATATAAATTTAATTAAAAAATTTTATATATTTTATATTTATATAAATTATAATATATAATTTTTATATAAAATATAATATAAATATAATTATCAATAGTTTATATTATATATATGCACAAACTACCAACTCCGTTAGGTAGTCAATGCACTTGTTTGCCTTAAATGCAAATTTTGTACCTACAGCTTTGTACGCGTCTTAACATCACATAACGTAAGAAATAAGTTTTTTCAACCAATTTTTACGTCTTTTATTTTTCAAGCTTATTAAAAGCTAAAGGTATCCACTTAAAATTAATTATTTTAATTAAGCATTATCTTGAATAGTAAAATTTATTTCAATAAAAAAAATATTATTTTGAAATATTTTGAAATAATAAAATGAACATGAATTAAAACAAAAGAATAATAAAAGTACTATTTCCAATACTATTTTTTATTCAAAATATTAATAATGAACGTGGTTTTATTTCGAACCATAGAAAACCAAATGAAAACGAAGGAACAGGACAGCCGGCGGATAGAATCAAACAGAAAAAACAAAAGATGTGCGAAAAAGGACCAAATAAAGGTCGCAAGGACCCCTTGTCGGTCCACCCACCCCTTTCGTGGTGACTACTCCGCAGGGGAAGGGGCCCGGGGTGAAGTTCCAACCTTGCCTCTGGTGGCCTCAAAAGTTAATTTTCTCTTCTCGTCTCAATTGTTGTTTTCAAAATTTTCATATATAATTAGTGAAATTTTAAAATTTTACAAAGAGATTGATAACTTATTGTTATATTAATTTTTAAATGATTTTTAATATATTTTACAAAAAATATATATAATTTGTTAATCATGATGGAATTGAAAAACATTAATGTTGATTGATGAGATAAATTTTTATATATTTATTATAACTCTTTTATTTCAATTTTTTATTTGATTTTATTGAAAAATAATAATATCTTGAATAATTCTTGAATTATTATTGTAGGCATTCAATTTGATTCAAGCTTGGATCAATTTGGTCTGGTCCAATGAGATTAGTAAAACCCAAAGATTTGGACTTAATTATTTTTTTATTTATGTTATTTATTGATATATTTATTTGTTTTTCTTCTAAATTTTTATTTTTTTTTCAAATTAATTTTCGGTTATTAGATGTTGATAATAATTAGAATAATTAAAAATAAAAATGGGAATGAATTCTGTCGTAAATAAGGTCATTAGAGAATCATAGTTGGATTAAATTAGTATATGATAAATTCAGTAACTAATATGAAATCCAAAAACCTAATCAAAAAGGAAATTCGGATTAATCAGAGATTCTAAGATTGATCCTATAAATATTTATTGATCAGAAGCAAAGAAAGAGATAGAAAGAAAATAAAGAGAAAACAAAAGCAAAAAAAGTTTGAAGGCAGCTCTAGAATTTTTAGAAAATTTTTTTAAATTTTTTATTTTTTTTGTGAGAAATTTCTAAAAAAATTTCAGATTTCGATGAATTTTCTGACGAGATTTAAATTTTTTATGATTTTTCAGTGATATTCAAAATTTTCGGCTAAGTTTCTAGTTTTCGATCTTCATTTTTAGAAATTGACGAACTTTCAGTCAGATTCCAACGACCCTACCCAAATTCTGGTGAAAATCCAATAATTCGATGAAGGATTCAACCTACGATCTTGAATCCTAGAAAGAGAGGAAAAAAAATGAAGGCAAAAGAGAGAAGGAAGAAGAGCAATCTGGTGAAAAAAGGTCAAATTCAGCCTTTATACTATCACAAAACGACGTGATTTTAGGCTTTAAAGGACCCTAAAATCCGCGTATTTTTATTCGGTTCGACTCGACCTAAGTGTTGACTTGCGTTTCAACCCGTTCCCTAGAAATTGTTGTTGAGTCGAGCCGAGCCCGTCCCTTGAGTCGCACATTCTAGTCGATCTTTATGTCTCGAGCCGAGCTGTCCCAACCGCTGAGCCGAGCCGTATCAAGGTTTTTTTTCATTTATTTATTATTATTGATTAAATTAAAATTATTTGATATTCTTTAATTTTTTATTTTTATTTTTATTTTTGTCAATGATTTTCCTAAAATAAAATTTTCAAAAACAATATTTTTGAGAAAAAGTTAAAATATCAATTTTCCTTAAAAATAATTTTTTTTAAAAAATATTTTTACGAAAAAGTTGAAAGTATTAATTTTTCTTAAAAATAAAATTTTTT